GATAAATTTTGAATGTCCAACAAAATTTATTTTCAGATCTGTTTCTGACACAATTTTTAGATTTTTCTTAAAAAAATGTAAAAATGTTCTTTCCGTGTACTTATATATAAAATAATATTGTGCAAAAATAAGTTTTCCACAAATATATTCGACACGTCAACTTTCAAATTGTTGCGCATTGTGCAACAATAATGAACTGCTATAACATCGCTAATATTAACATTACGTAACTGCATACATTTCAATATATAATTCACTTCATTCAATATGCACAAAAAAAATATGTAAAACGGAACAGAGAAAGAATTCCAATTAAAATTATACCTCCACGTGAATAATGTGGAAGTAAAATATATACCTTGCAAACGTATCAATATTATAATGTGGAACGATTGGCTATCAGACATTAATTACTTAATTGTATTGTATGGTCTTCAATAAATATTGAGCAGTGCAAACAGGTAGAACATATTATCGGAAAAACAGTTCATTTTCATGCGGGATAAAAAAGTATTACCATTCCAATGTACGCACGCATTAAAGGAACTAAAATTCATATTACATCTTTGTATACGGAAATGTGCATACAAATTTTTACATAGATAAAATGTGTTGATTAAAAAATAAATTAAGAAAGAGCAAGATGACAGAAAGCTCGGATCACTGATGATAAACTTTCACATGGTAAATAAATTGCAGCGATAAATATAATAAACGTTTTATATAACGCAAAATACTTTAAACATAAATAAACTCTAAAGTATAATATGCGATACAGTATCGTGAAGGCTAAAAACTGGATGTCATAATATTCAAGTAAAATATATGCATCTAGACTGACATAATGTGAACAAAAATTATGGCCACAAAAAACATGATTGTTTCTGACGTATAATCGATTCGCTTCCTTATATATTATCATTTATACAGGCGCGGAGATAATTAGCATATATATAGCCATATGATTAAGATTACTCTTCCAATGACATATTAATTTTAATCACTAACTTTTTTATAATAATATCAGAATGTATTTTGTAAAATTGTTAAAGTCAGTTTTGCTAGATATTTGCTGTGAAAATATTCGTTGCAATTTGTTCAAGGTTGTTTGAATTATGCGTTAATCGTTAAAGTCACTTATCATAATAATTGCACACTGAAGATAATTGTACACTTTGTCTGTAAAAAGTGTGACGAAGTTTCGATAAGTTTACACTTGATATATTTTATACAAATCATAACATAAGATTTTAAATATTAAAATTGTCAAAAAAATAAATATTTGTACAACACGTTATATTAAATTTTTTTCCGAATCTGTTAAATGTATCATTCAAAATATATTTTCTCAATTTAAAGTAATATGTTGTAAATTTGTAAATAAGTACGAATGTATTATTAATTAATAAAGAATGTAAGATAAATCATCTCGCGACACTCGTGAATCTGTAATATAAAGAAGAAAGAAGCAATTTCAGTCAATATTTTCATTCATTATATTATGATGAAGTCCCTAGAACTGTGCTCTAGAAATACATTATTCAACTAACTTGCAATAATTATAATTTTAGAAAACCACAATTATAACTTAATATATGTATTATTAACGTATGACAAATTTATTCCACTACAATGGCTACAATTATCCTTATTTTCCTAGTGATTTGTATTCATTATACACAATATAATACAGATTCTGAAAGAAAAACAGCGTTATGCTTATTTAAAGTCATAAATTCTGCTTGCCATAATCATGTTATCTTGACAAAGGTCAGGTTACACTGCCGCATTATGATACTTAATCTTTGAACATAATTTGTAAGATGAGCGCAATTTTAAAATAAAAAATTAAAAAAAAATTAAATTATTTAGAAAAGATGATACAAAATAGATCCATCTGGAGGAGAAATTCATGAAGGAAAAAAAATTAAAAAATTTAGGTAATTTATAAAATGTAATACATATTTACATATTTAATGTCTTTGTGCCAAACTCGCTTCAAGCAATCTATATTCGGAATTCGAGATGGAATTCTATTTTAGATCTGCCGTGTAATACGAGAAACATTTGAAAAATTTGAAAAATTGAAACAGACATATATTAAATAATATATCTCAAATATACGTTTCTATATACGTGCATTATATTCTTCCAATGTTGTTTATTATGTAAAATAAAGAGATTTCTCACATTCTTGCGATACATTATCCTTTACGTAACTCTTAATTACCCGTTTAAGAATTAATTACAGTCTTAAATGATACTTACATGTAACCGGCAAGAACGTTGAGTAATGTCGATTTTCCGGCTCCGGACGGCCCCATTATAGCCACTAATTCGCCGGCCTTAAATTCACCGCTGATGCCGTGTAAAATTTCTTTCTCGTCTGCAACAAAACACAAGGTCGTAATTTTTGCGTCATTGGGTTTTTTATGCAACGATTCAGTGTTAACCTCTCGAATAGGCATTATTCTTCCATTTTAATTCAATTTAACCCATAAGTGTGCAATGATAAAAGAACGTATGCAATTACAAAACAGTGTAGTGTTTATAAGCCTTGAACTTACATCGATCGCGTCACGTAATAAGTTAAAAGTTTGCTTATCGTTTTATACGAGCGTATAAAACGTTTCTAAGGTATCTAACAGTCATTGACTCTAATCACCATGACACATTTTGCTTTCATAAAAATATGAACGGAAAACATGTATTAAATACAATAAAATGCGCATACGATTAAGATAAACTAGAGTTTGAAATGTTATTTAGCAATATTTCCTTTTTTCTATCAATTCAAAAGATCTCGGTATTTTGTGAAATAATTTGGATATTATTCCATTAAATCATCAGGCTTGCGGAATATTGGAGTTTGCATACTGAATAAAAAATTATTTATTCCAATTTAATATATTATAAAAGCAAGATACATTTGCCTACAATATTGCTATCACTAATGTATTACAAATGTCAATATTAGTACAAACATTAATTTTTATTGTCACTAAGAAACAATCTCGGAGCTTTTAATCTCAGAGTTTAATAAACAAGATTCCACGAAGAATCATGGAAAACATATCTTTACATCGAGATCAAGTATTTAACCTTCATTATTTTATTAAATGTATAATTATTCGCAAGGCGATGTAGTAACGAAATAAATATTCTCTCATTATTCTCAACTTGTTAATCGCAGCAATATTTCAGTAGAATGTGCCTGTTATTCTGCAATAAAGACAAATGGAAGACAAACTTAATCTGTAGTCTGTAATGGTCAGATTATCGTATTTCGTTTTTTCCTCTTCAAAAATTCCATACGATAGGAGCTAAGAGGAAAATAACAAAAACAAGAGGATAGCATTTTTAACACACAATTCGATTATTTCAACTTTGTGTATATAGATTCGAACAAACCTTGAACCACTTTCGTAATAAATTGATAACAAAACGGAACTCGAATTAAAGCTGAGAGATCACGCAAATCATCTAAAGCGAGCGTATGCGGAGCTAAGCGCTAACCGTAGCAGCGATTTCGAGTGCCGTTTTCTTTGTGTTGTGCTGGCTGCCGAGATAAGAGATACATTGAATTATGTTTCTTCTTAATTATATTTTACATAAGGCTTCGTCAGAATGCTCTACGCAATGCTCGATCGCTGAAAGCGCCAGATACGCACGTTGTCACAACAGCTATTGTTTAAAAAACAAACTGTTTAAACGCAAAGTGGCACGTGTTCGGAAAGTGGAAAGCGGAAGCAAAGGAGAGACGCGTAGAAAAGAGAGAGCGGAATTTAACAAATTACTTCCTGGAAAACAAATTATTTAGTAACGACAATATAAAACACAAATTATTTCGTAGAAGAAAAATAGAAGGACAAACGAAGAAGCAGAGTACGCATTTGTAGAAAAAAAATCTTTTGGAGAAAATATTGTTTTAACGTTGCCGATGTTCTTGCAGCAACGAGAGAACAAATGTAATCACACTTGTGAGCGTTGCCTGTTCCTTCATTAGATGAAGGAGAAACGTAATGCATTCATCGAAAGGAAATGGAAAGACAATTATCGGATATACTCTTTCCGGCCGCTTCAGACGTTCTTATTACTAACAGAAGATAGACACAGAAATGTATTCTATACTTCGCATGGAACTAATCTCTCATCCACTTTTATTTCGTAGCATTGCCTTCGTATCATGAATTATTTGCTTGTAAATCGTGTAAATGTGGCGACACGATATCAATAAACAAGCCATTAAGGCTTCTTCTGTTTCCAGACAGAACTTTTACTATGTCACAATCGCGTACTCGTGGAAAAGAACTCGTGGAAGTACTCGTAGAATGCTCCATCTCCACTCATATTTGCCGAAGCTTCGATAAACACAAACATTCGCTTTTTGCTCTATTTGCATAATGTATACATTATAAAATATAATCTCGTAAATTGAACATAATTACCGCTGTAAAAAATCATTAAATAATTCTCAAATCGGATTCGAGAAATAGAGATAAATCTTTTCTTACTTACTATTCATTATATACGATTTTCCTTTTATTTTAATCATGTATTTTGCGAATTGCAGTACGGCGGGATCAATTTTTGTGGGATTGATTTTACAGTTTGACCGAAGACACGTATTGTTCTACGTGACATCGTCTATGACGCACAACTTCCTTTCGTGAATCATGAATAATTCTTATAGCGGATGCGACATTAACACTCCCGAGTTATACTCGGCGTGACAATCCGCAGCATGTGGCACGAACAGATAAAGCATTGATCAATACTTCGCACGGTAATATTCGTATCATATTCTCTTTCAGCGCGAACAAAGTAAGTGCAACATTGTCACTTTATGCACATTTCGAGCATTGTTATGTAATGACATTACGTTGTAGTGACATCATAGTTTTAAAAGAGTAAACTGCAATCATTTTATATATTTTTCCCTCTAATCTTAAATAGAAAATCGGTTTTATTTCTGAGTTTCAGAGAGAGAATATTTATCAGCTGAATAAATGTGCTCTAAAACAATGCTGAATGCTCTATAAATAACGGAGCACATGCGTGCCGTAAAAAAGAATACAAAAGTAGAGCATCGTCAATGATTTATTATGCAAAAAATTCTGCAATAATAAGCACTTTATTTCACCACGATAAATCATCAGCTTTATATATTGTTGTATCATTATTAATATTTGTAAAGCCAGACAACGGTATTGATATGTGACAACATTTTGCCAGATGTGTATCATTAATTACGCATCTATACGCGGTCGCGAAAAAACAATGCACATAAATATGCATAAATACACGAGGAAAAAACGCGAATTTAAATTGTAATTAATGCACTTGTTGATAAGATATACTTGCAGATATCACGCTATTACCAGGTAATCATTTAACGAGAAGAATGAAGTAAAAACGCACTTAAACAAAATGTAATCATCGTCGTTATCGGAATTATCTATCAATTAAATCATCTACAAAGTAGCATAGAGACAAAAAAAAATGGGAATAAACAACTTTAATACCGGTGATTACTTTTTTACTTATTACAATGTATTTTATCTTTGAATGTACATATGTCCGATTTTTTAAAAATATTGCCGTTTCTACTATAAAATTCAATTCTCTCGCTGAATTTATTCCCATCATATGTTTTATTGATAACGTTATCTCAAAGTGATTGCTGTTAATAACGCACGGTCCCGTGTTGAATAACTTTGATTACATCGCATTTTCAAAACGCATAGTGATACTTTCTCCGTTTAAAACTTTCTTCATTTGTCATACAGCTCAGTATTACATACACTTTCTCTCATACGGTTGCTCATTAATTCCGCAATGTATGATTTTTATTAAAATAATTGCTTTGTTTAAGTTATTTTAGATATTATTTTTTAGATACTTTAGATATATTAGATATATTTTAGATACTTCCGCAATGAGTATAACGACACAGTCGGTCAAATTATTCCAACTTTCAAACGTTGAACAAATAAGTTTATTAATACACCTATAGCGTTATCATTTTCTAAGATAATTTTTTTTCATGTTTAACATTTAAAAAATTTGTTCCTCATAATACACGTGATATAGCATAGTAAGCACACAACGTCACTTTGCACAGTGCGTGCAAACACTATGAGTTATTTTTCCTAACGCTTTTGAAAATGTGAAATATCCATGATATATTTCTAATAATTGTATAAAAAATGCGAACAATTAAATACTCGATATCGATGTAAATAAAGTTGCGAAGAAAATTGTAAATGGCATATTGATAACCTAAGGATCAAATGTTAAGAGTGCTACGATAAAAAAGTATGTCAAAACTGTCAAAATGATATTAAAACGTTATTCTACACAGCACATATGCATATCTGAAGAAGTATTTTTATCGAAATTATGATAATTAATTTGTTAATTCATTTATAGAATAGATGATAATTGGCAATTTGATCATACTTTTTTCAAAATTGGAATAACATGTTATTAAGGGAAATTTCCACTAAGGAAAATCATCTCATTTAAGAAGAAAGATCAGCCTACATGTATCAGAAATGCCAATTATTTAACTTAAGAATTTATCTTGTATCTACCTTGTATCATATACATTATTATTGATAACATTATTTCTCGATACTCACTGACTGAGAAGTTGTATACGTCCCATTCTTTGATGTGATAGCGTATATCGCGAAAAGATAGATCAATCTCAGGCCTCTTCGGAAAAGAGCGCTTTTCCTGTTGTAGGAAATAATTGTTGTTGCCGATGATCGTCGAATCTCGCACATCATCTTCACTGATACGGTCAAACTGGCAGCAGCTCAGAGATGATCGCGACGGTGAGCAGTGCGTTGAAGTGGTCATCACGAATGGAAATGCGACACGGACTTGAAATGCAATTCGTTAGTAAACTGATAAGCGCACGCTTAAAAACGTCACTATGTCTTGTCAGATATCATTCGGCTCGGTCACGTTCAATCGCGCACATACATGTCTATACACTTTTTTTCTTTTTAATCCTCCCCGTCCGCCGCCGCACGAAATTCGCTGTATGTGCTCGTCACAATAATTCTCGTTTTCATATAAACCACCAGTTCAATCTGAAACAATAAATAAAAATGCCTATCAAAATAAATTACGGTAATGGTTTAATTATGATAAATACGAATTAATTATCTCTCGGCGCTTTTAAAAAGTATGATATATATTGATAGTCGAATAAACAGACATGTATGCAAGAAATTTATAGTAAACTTATAGAAATTAAGAACAAACAAGGAATAAATATAAAAAATATGACATAAAAAGAAGACAAACGGCAAAACGCAAAATTATAATGGCGAAACATGCGCACACAAAACACGTTATTACAATAAATCTAATTTAAATCAGATTTATTCGCGATAGTTATTAAACTAATGATATCAACTAATAATTAAATTATAAAGGCGTTAGTATTAATTCATGAATTTATTTTATAATATACATATATACAATACATATATTATACATGACATATAGTAGAAAATTTATTACATTTACATTTTTTTTTGCACAAAAAAGATCTGCGAAGCACACGTGGTAATTATTACACCGCAAAAAATTTTTTAAAATTCATAACGGAATCATACGCAACACATTATTTCGATAAACTTTTCGATAAACTTTTTGAATTATAATTAGAAGTGGAAACAGCAACATTGATAATTTTTATAACATATAGTCTTCATTTTAATCGTGTTATTTTATTTTTATCTATTTTTATTTTGAAGTTTAAATGTGCACAAAAAATAGAAACAGATAAAGATAAAATAATGTGATTAAAATAAAGTCTATATAAAAATGATTAATTATAATTTGAAAACTTTATACCGAAATAATGTGTCGCGTGTGATTTTGTTACGATATTTGCGCGCGAGTATTATAAGCATCACAATTAAATGAGCTGTTACTTGTCGCAGTGCGCTAATAACAAGCGTATGTAAGAAAAGAAGATTGGTTATATGCGAAGTCGAAGAATAAAGACTGTATTATGCAAAAACCGGCTTGCTTCAAACTATTAGTCCGAATAAAGTGCGTTGTAGAAGCATGGGAAGGAAATACGACGGCGTTTTCGAAAGAGAGAACAGATATCAAATTGTTTGCATGTTTTATATGCAAAATCTCACGTCAGACAAAACAGGCAAAAATCGTATATCGGTTGTCGAGCGAGTTTTTTTTGACATTTTTATTTTCATATGCCAACCGGAGAGCTAAATTGCTTTATTTTAACATGTCTTAACAGTTACGAAAATAGAACCCGCTGCATCGCTTTCTCCGCCGCTCTCTAAATGCTGCTATGAAAACTGCTGCGAATTTACCGCACAGCCGCGAAAGCTTTGTCTCCAACAATTAAGACTGTTGAGTCACTCGAAGTTCCACGCGCGTGATTATTTTGTATTTTAGAGACGACTAATTTATCATAGCGAACCAACTTTTATTTACAACACTTTTTCTTCTAATTAATCTGTCACTCTTAATTTTCTAACGTATTTTTTATTCCTTTACGTAAGACAGCGCTATAACAACCAATAAATTTTTCCTACCTTTTTTTGAAAATATTGAACCTAGTTGTTTGATGAATAATTAATTATAAGAAAAATTAGCAGCATAAAAATTCGAAAATTGATATTCTTTTATATCTCAGGAATGATTAATTAATCAAAATTGATCAGACGAACAAACGTCATCGCGAAAGAAACGTATAATATACGTATAAATTGTTATGCGTTTGATGTTGCATTTGTACTTGTAGAGATATTTCACAGCAGTTGCTTTATTTTATACTGTATTTTACACCGATATGCAAATTTACGAACAAATAAGTTAACATAGTCATCGTGAGTATCTACAGACAGAGATTATCATTAGAACTGCTTTATTATGGTTATTAATTTGCCATATACACATAATTTTATAAAATTGTATTGTATGCATATAATTTCTAAAATTACATGCAATTAATGTACACTTTGACATAATATATGCGAAATATAATGAAGATAAAATATTCTACAAATCTTGCAAAATATATAAATATTACTTGGCTTTATTAACAATAAACGAAGCAATAATTTTGTCTATCAGTTAACTGCATTTGTAATTGCTAATACAACGCGGAAAAATCAAATTTGCCATAAACGAGATAAAATTCGTTTATAAGCAGAGACAAGCTTCGAATGAATCATCTTTTTAGTGAAGTAAAAATACATAATAAGAAATATTTTTTCACGTTTATATTTCCTAAAATATTTGAAATACGTAAAAAGCATTTTTATACTCAATAACAAATCAATTACATTAATAACATTGCATTAATAATAAAAAGTATCTTATTTTAAAACTTTTAGCAAACGAATACAAAGATTATTTACGATCATTACTATTGACTTGTTGAATGGGTTATAAAACGTGATATTAATAAGGCAAAATAAATTTTAAAACAAATATAAGAAAAGAAGATATTCGTGCTTAAAACGCTGGTCGTTATTCACTAATTATTACAATTTTTTCGTTTGTTACATTAGTGTTTTAACAATTTTCATATAAAAAGTAAAAATTCGTTAGATGTTTCGATACCTCTGTGAAGTTGGCCCCCCATTTTTCAAAATAAAAAAAATGATTAGAGTTCTGGATGCCCCCGAGGAGTTCTAGAGTTCTCAGACCATTTTAGAAAGAGTTCTGCCATTTAAAGTAAAGAAAACACCATTTGAAAAATGGGGGGGCTAACTTCACGGCGCCCCCCATTATGTAAAAAATCCAAATTTTTTTATAGTTTTGAGTAGATTTCAAATAGTTCTATAGTTCTAGATAAGATTCAAAAATAGTTCTGCTCGAAATACTACGTAAATTAAATTTGAAATTCTCGACTTAGAAAACGAAAAATAGCGAGAACTCGTTCAATCTTGATTTTAGCGTTTGGAGCCTTAAGGATAATCGTTAGAACTCGTGAGGGGCTATACAGAACTCTCAACAGAACTGCCGGTTACCGAGAAAAAAATTTTTTTCCTGTAGGACTTAAAAATTTTTCGAATCCGAACCTTCAACCATCGAGAACTTTTTTATTTCGCCTCTGAGCGCTTCGAGTGTTAATAATTATTGTTACAACTCTTCGGGGGGCGTCCAGAACTCTCATCAGAACTGCCGGTTACCGAGAAAAAATTTTTCTGTAAGACTTAGAAATTTTTCGAATCCCGAAACTTCAACCATTGAGAACTTTTTTATTTCACCTCTGAGCGTTACGAGTGTTAATAATTATCGTTAGAACTCTTCGGGGGGCGTCCAGAACTCTCATCAGAACTGCCGGTTACCAAGAAAAAATTTTTTTTCTGTAAGACTTAGAAATTTTTTGAATCCGAAACTTCAACCATCGAGAACTTTTTTATTTCACCTCTGAGCGTTACAAGTGTTAATAATTATCGTTAGAACTCTTCGGGGGGCGTCCAGAACTCTCATCAGAACTGCCGGTTATCAAGAAAAAATTTTTTTTTTATAAGAGAAATTTTTCGAATCCGAAACTTCAACCATTGAGAACTTTTTTATTTCGCCTCTAAGCGTTACGAGTGTTAACAATTATCGTTAGAACTCTTCGGGGGGCGTCCAGAACTCTTATCAGAACTGCCGGTTACCGAGAAAAAATTTTTTTTTCTGTAAGACTTAGAAATTTTTCGAATCCGAAACTTCAACCATTGAGAACTTTTTTATTTCGCCTCTGAGCGCTTCGAGTGTTAATAATTATCGTTAGAACTCTTCGGGGGGCGTCCAGAACTCTCAAAAGAACTGCCGGTTACCGTGAAATAGTTTTTTATTCATGTTTAAAAAATTACTTTGGATTAATGCTTTACATAAATAACCACATGCGGACATATTTCTTCGTTTGCATTTGCCACAGATCGTTTTGACGCCATATCATCATATTTGAACCAATTATTTCCGGTATATGTAAATGCGATGTAATGTCCATTATTAGAACTGCCGTATTGAGTATATGAAATGACTCCTGCTAAACTGTAGCGATTGTCATCAATAGCAACAAGTTTTGTTATATTGTGCAAAGGATACTCATGTTTAGCATCAATATTTTGGGCCTGTCTGTAGTTGGTATCACTGTAAATGCTTGTATCAATAATCAAATGAGATCCGTATAAAATGGTACGGCTAATGCGCTTTTTGCAATTATTGCACGTTGCATCTTTTCGTGCAATTATGTCGTCATTGATTGCTGAAAAATTTTTTCTTGGTAACCGGCAGTTCTGATAAGAGTTCTGGACGCCCCCCGAAGAGTTCTAACGATAATTATTAACACTCGTAACGCTCAGAGGTGAAATAAAAAAGTTCTCAATGGTTGAAGTTTCGGATTCGAAAAATTTCTAAGCCTTACAGAAAAAAAAATTTTTTCTCGGTAACCGGCAGTTCTGATAAGAGTTCTGGACGCCCCCCGAAGAGTTCTAACGATAATTGTTAACACTCGTAACGCTCAGAGGCGAAATAAAAAAGTTCTCAATGGTTGAAGTTTCGGATTCAAAAAATTTCTAAGTCCTACAGAAAAAAAAATTTTTTCTCGGTAACCGGCAGTTCTGTTGAGAGTTCTGGGCGCCCCCCGAAGAGTTCTAACGATAATTATTAACACTCGTAACGCTCAGAGGTGAAATAAAAAAGTTCTCAATGGTTGAAGTTTCGGATTCGAAAAATTTCTAAGTCTCCTACAGAAAAAAATTTTTCTCGGTAAACCGGCACGTTTACGTGTTAGAGAGTTCTGGGCGCCCCCCGAAGAGTTCTAACGATAATTATTAACACTCGTAACGCTCAGAGGTGAAATAAAAAAGTTCTCAATGGTTGAAGTTTCGGGATTCGAAAAATTTCTAAGTCTTACAGAAGAAAAAAAATTTTTTCTTGGTAACCGGCAGTTCTGATAAGAGTTCTGGACGCCCCCCGAAGAGTTGTAACAATAATTATTAACACTCGAAGCGCTCAGAGGCGAAATAAAAAAGTTCTCGATGGTTGAAGGTTCGGATTCGAAAAATTTTTAAGTCCTACAGGAAAAAAATTTTTTTCTCGGTAA